GCAACTTTCATAGTTACTAATTCCCCCCTTCTTCACCTAAACACCTCTTTATTCCTGAACAGATCAAGTCACAGTTGTGTGATTGGCCTATTCTGTTTTTGTGTTGGTTATAAAGTGGCTGGTGACAGTGGCCTTATTATGCAATATGTGCATCTTATGATGTCATTCGATATAGTCTATCAATATGATAAACTTGTTTAAGTTAATTATCAAATTCAGGACATTATCTTATTTTGTTATTCAAAACATCCATCTGTTATCTGTGCTACAACCCATTTGTCATTACAGTTAAACAATAACAGCTTAGCGTGCAGCATTTCCTTTTGTTTATGGGGGTGAAAATAATGCCCTCAGTTGTGTTTTATGTTAGAAATATCCCAAAATCAAAGGGGTTTAAGGGATTGGTTTTTAAGGTTTGAAGATATTCAGGGAGTAAAAAAAACCTAAGTAAACCACTGATGGGTAAAAATACTGCAAATTTCAGACGGAGAGTAAGCTACATTCTTTGTCTACATCCTGACAGTTCTTTAAAATACTGTATCATGTAAAAGTTGTATGGAAGATAACTAAGCTATAAAGAAATCCTTCACCTGGTAATAAATGTATCCTAAACAGATTTTCTGATCGTCTCGCTGAATGTTTTCTCTTTAACAGCGGTCCTCACCCGATGTCAAGGCAGAAATGTTTGAGTTGCTTTACCAAATACTTCACCAAAACTGGAGGTACTTCTTCAAAACCTCAGTCTTAACAAGCGTCCAAAGAGGAGGTGTTGACGACGCCATGGAGAATGAGGCCCAGTTCACAGCAGCCATGCAGGTCTGTTTATATATTTAAATCCCATTTATTAATATTAGAGTTAAAGAATAGTTTGAATTTCAGCTTATTTGATTTTAGAATACTCCAAGTTTCATTTGCTTCTCCTCATTTCCTTGTTCTCTGTTTGAAATATCTTTTCAGGCATTTGGCCAGTCCTTCCTGCAGACAGATATCCACATCTTTAAGCAGAATCTGTCCTATCTGGAGTCTCTGAACAGCAAGCACAAGTTATATCACAGAGTATGTTTAGATTTTCTTCCATTGTTGATTTTTGCATTTTATAGGTGTTTACAATTTCATTTTTTCTAAACTAACTAACCTTAAGTGATTTAGTGTGCAAGAGTCTTCCTCTCATAGTTACAGCTCAGTATAAGCAAGATGAATTTTTAAAATCTAGCTAATATCTTTAATTTCTCCTCTGGTCTCATGACCTAAATTGAACATTTCAGAGTTAGCTACTTCTCATTTTTAATTATCACTCGTGAACATGCACTGTCTTTAATCATCTAATTATAATATTTTTTTAAAATGTGTTCTCTGATTCTTCAGAAGCTTTTCCGGACCTCGATGCTCTTCCACTTCATCAACGTACTCCTGCAGGTCCTCCTCCACAAAAGTCATGACCTGCTGCAGGAGGAAATAACCCTTGCCATTTACAACATGGCTTCTGTTGACTTCGATGCCTTCTACTCGGCTTTCATGCCAGAGTTTCTGAACGGCTGCCAAGGAGTGGACTCCAATCAACGGGCCGTTCTCGCACGCAACTTCAAGCTTGAACAGGTTAGGGTTGATGGTTTTCCTCCACCCATTCATTAACTTTGATATTTTTTATGGATTTTTCCACATTGTTTTAGAAAATGATAAAATCACATCTTTAAGAAAACACTTGAGAAAACTCAAAAGGAACCATCTTTAAGATGGTTACATTATTACTTTAACAGTGATCAGAAGCACTGAGCACCTCAAGTCTTTATTCCTGATAGCTCTAGTGACAAGACTCATTCAGTAAACCGTCACAGCAGCAGCTCTGAGCTGTTGCTTCATACAGAGCCTCCCCCTCGTTCATCATTGATCTTTGCACACAAATAAATCCTGACATCATGTTTCCTACGTGAAAATGGACTCAGAATAAATCTGGTATCCCTTAAATTTTTCCACATTTTGCCCTTATCAGGAAAAAAACCTCACTCTGTTTTATTTCAATTTTATTTAATAAACAAAGTGGAACATAATGATGTGAAATGACAGTTATAGTGTAGTTTAGAGGTTTTTAGATTAAAAACCTTTCCTTGTAATTATAGCTACAGGCCCTTCATCGCATGTCTCATATCTAAATTAGGCAGATAGCTAAAGCACACCTTAGTTTTTAAATCTTGCTATACAATCTTTAATAGGTGTAGATTTTAACTTTAATTGGACATTATTGTGCTTTAATCTAAACCAACCCATTGCAGCTGCCTATTCTATTGCTTTAATTTAAACTCCACCCATGCATCCACTGCCTGGTTTAATGCTGTGCTTGAAGATATTTCAAAAGACACCCATGGTGTGAAATGCATACTGAACAGGAATTTAATGAATTATTTGTAGCTTCCTTGTTGCAGGTACTGCAGCTTTATGTAACTATTAAAAAGCAGTTCTGTTTATATTGACAAATAACCGGGCTGTTTTTCTCTGGGTTCTGTTCAATCAAAGTACATTAGGAGCTAATTAAATAGCAAATTTACATCCCAGTTTGTCACCTCACAAGTTAAAGGTTTTCACACTGTTTAGTCTGCAGCTCCTCCTTGGTTCTTTGCTTTCTAATTCTAATTGAAAACACAAATTAAAAACATAAATTCATTGTTTTTCATTATTTGTTTAAAAGCAAGATACATGTTAAAATTTGTCTCAACCTCAGTGATCTTGCTCTTTTAACAGGAAAACAGTCCTTACATGCATAAAATACTGTTATTTGCATCTGACAATAATTTGTTTTCCACCTTTATTCCAGGACCTGCCGTCATTCACTCAAAGTGTGCAGAGACTGGTGAATGACCTCCGCTACTATAGACTGTGTAATAGTAGTTTGCCCACTGGCACCATCAAGTTATAGCACAACTGCTTGAACCACTCCACATGTCGGCTGTGATCTTCTAAGACTGCCTATGCTGAACACTCTGCCCGTCACTCCTCCACTTCAGCTTGGCTCCACTCAAAGCAACTGCAAGGAGCAAAACACACATTTCTTGGTTGAGTAATGGGAGAGTGAGCATGCTGCTGATAACGGTCTTTAATGAATGAATGAATGAATCCTACTGTAAAAGGTTGGCACGTTGGTATGTTTCTTGGTGTCCTCCTTAGTGTCTTGCCAATTTGGTGAGGAAATGTAAACCTGGTCTGCAGTCTGCATCTGTCCAGACCCGGAGCTGTCTGAGCCAGGCCTTCTCTCCCATTCTGCCTCAACAAAGCTGGGCTGGGACTGAGCACTTTCAACTCATTTTGAGTTTTTTTATTGTCTGCTAATATTCGTTTTGCCTTTTTCATCTCCAAAGGAGACAGAATCTCAACTTAAGATCTTTCATATCATTCCATTCTGAAAACGTGAAAACTGCTTGATTAATAAATTGCTTTTTTTTAAATACAGTTTGTATTTGCCTTTTCTGTTTGTCTGTTATTGCAATACTGGCTGTGTTATTGTAAATATCAGAAATCAGGAAAAGTATTAACACACTGACTTAGTTTAAATTCATTCTTTTAAAAAAATTTTACTCAAGATGAGTTTTATACGTGGAATATTTCCCATGTTTCTGCATTTAATCCACCAGAAAATACGTTCTCAACCATTGGGGAACAAATGTGCAGCCTGAAGAAAATGACAGCAACGCCTTTTTCAACATCTGACTTGGCATCATCTCCAGCTAATGCACTGTAGTTGTGAGAAGGCATACTGATTGACATGATGAAAATAATCCTGTTTTACTGATCAGATCAATTACTTTTTTTGGTAGAAATTATGTTTCCGCCTGATAAATCATGCACTTTAGTATGTTGTATAGTATTTTAGTGTAGTATGGTAAAACCAACCGATATGCTGCTGATTCTGAGCTGTTAAATCATCGGGTTAAAGGAGGAATAATGGTGTGAATTTACATCTGGATGGTTTTACATTCTGTGAAAAAAAATCAGCTCGAACATGATGAAAAACAGTGAGCACAGTAAAAAGGTAAAGATGCTTGCGTCAATCATACATATTAACTAATAAGACACTGCAGTCTTTTTAAAAAAGATGCCGCTCTGGTCACAGTTTTTCAGAGAACAGGAAGCAAGAGAATTTATCCTGGAGAAACTCCTTATCATGGGGGAAGTAACATCCTCTATCCTGATACTGTAGGAATACTTCCCAACTTTGTTCTAAATAGACGTCAAGGAAAATGGGAGTGCACCAAGAGAAATCCTAAAAATATAAGACAAATGTATATAGTTAATGATAACCAAACTTAATGTTAGGGAAAATGTAAAATTATCTCATAATGCAATATTTATAATGTTTAATAAAGGGATTAAGGGGGAAATTAAAGATATGTAAAATAGTTCCAGGGTTAGTTGTGCACAAGAATTATTAAGTATACCTTTTTTTTTTAAATGTGGTTTTAAAAACAAAGCTGGTTCCACAGGATCTGATCTGCCTTTTCTTCTCAACAAGGAAGTTTTTGCCTGTGAACTTTTTTAGAAAAAAGATCTTAATTATAGGCAGTGACAATAATAGCTTTATATAAAACCTGGATTCTTTCTGCTCTCTGTGGGTTATCAACCTCTTGCCCCCTTTATAGAAATGTCTAGATGGGACTTTATTAAAACAGCAGAGCAGCATTGGGGGATAAAAGAGGCTGGGCTCAACTCTAATTGTTACTTGACCGGTTATTCTGCTTTATATGTTCCTTTTCAGATTAGTGTTTATTTGCATAAGGTCTGTAGTCCTAAACGCGGAGCCTCCTGAAGTGAACGATCAATGATTGATTCAAACTTATCAGGACATTTTTAATTAGTGGCTGCAAAGAGAAAAGGCGTTTTTGGATGAAGATAGGGTTTACTTTAAATAGAGTCGTTTATGTGCGTAAATTATATCTTATTTTCTGTGAATACAAAAAAAAAAAAGGGAAGTAGGAGGGGTCTGGCATGAGTGGAGTTAAATATTCAGTGTGAATAAGTGGAGCCGGACAGTGGGGGATGACTATAGAGGAGGGTGGACTGCTTCAGTCTGACTAAACGCGCACGGTCATGTTGCAGCGCAGGGTTTTCCACGCAGCTCTTAAACACCTTTTCACAGGGACCCAGGAGCCCCATAAAAGTCTGCAATGCGGGCTCCTCTGGGGACACAGGGTGGTCTGGCACAGGAGCAAATCAAGTAAGTGAAGAAGTTTCATTTTCTGACGAAGTTGAAGATTGAATGATGCGATAACTTTTGGTTGCTTTCCAATTTTTCGCCCCTTTTTCCATCATAAATGATCCAGTAATGTGTTTTTCTTTTTACATTTGAATGAAAGAAGCGGAGGTCTGAGCAGAGTTCAATCGAGTGTGAGACTTTAACCCCGAAGCGCAAAGTTTCCCCCAAAACCCAACAACAATATTTGACAACAAACGCGCCGGTTCGAGGGCGCGCGCTCATGACACGCGGCTTTTAAAAAATGCTCAAAGATGCGCGATTTATTGATATAAACAGGGGGACCCTGGCAGCGACCCGAACCATTCTGGATTCAAACTTGCAACCGATCAGCTAATACTGTACGTCATTCTTCACGTCCTGTGTGACGTGAGGCCCCACCAGTGGCTGCGGGTCTCGTGCGTATTTAATGGATTGCATGCAGTCCTTCATGTGCTCCTGGTGTTGTGGCCCATATCTGGTGTCTGTGGAGTAAAACCGAACTGGTTTAAAACATGTTCCAACATGTGTGAACACCCACGGAGAATAAACACAAGGTGTGTTTATTAAACACTAGTATTTATTAAAATAAAAGTATTTGCATCCTGGAAGAGATCTATTCTCTTTGGCTTTTGTTGTCAAAATAAAAGTTTTAGATCATATAATGTTAACCTGAACCTATGTGAATCTGAACATACAACAACTTCTGTTTTCAAGTGGCCTGACTAGTATTTTTGCATTTCTTTACAGTAGTTAAGCCTCACTCCTGTCTGCAGAAGGAAAATACCTCAGCATCTTAATCAGATATAAATCTAGACTGGGATTAGGCCTCTTCAAAACCTTAGCTTTGGGTTTTCTTTATTTCATCTGGTGGACTTGCTGATCATCATTGAATTGCTCTAAACCTTGCTGGACTCCAGCATATGGTCCCAAACTGGTGGCCGGACATTCTCCTCCATGAACTTCTGGCTGTTTTTGTGAGATAACTTCTCTGATAAGCTGTCCTGGTTTCAAATAATCAGATGCACTTTAAATAAGTTCACTTTTATCTCAGGCTCTTTTTTTTTCTTCCCCAAAAATATTGTGAATCATTCAGATTATTTTTGGTAAAATGAAATTGCCTTTTAGGTTTTAGTCCAAATTAGTCTTTGCCTTTGGATTTTGCATTGAGGTCACTTTAAAGAGCTCCATAATGAGGTAACTGAGGCTTATAGTGCTTAAGATGGTTTAGTTTTTGGGATCCCATCATATGCTCTGGGAAGATTGTTGAATTATCCAGCCACTTCTGGACTGGTTCATCGTTGCTCTAGGTTTTCTCCATGTGTTGATAATGAGTCACTGGTAATTGAAGGAAACCCTTGAAACCCCTTTTCTAGACAAATACACTACCTGTGACTTAGTTTTTTATCTGTTGCTTCTTGAGGACTTTCAACCTACTTCATGTTGTCAGACAGGTTCAGTTTAGTAATTTCTTAATTCTTCTGGTTAATAATTAATTTGACTGAGCTGTGGCTTGTAAAACTGAATTCCCAAAAATGTAAGTAATCGCATTCAATTCACAATTTAACATTTTCTCAGAGCGTTGGTCATTAAAATCAAAGAAATGTGGCACTTGCTCAGGGAACGAAATAAAGTTCAAAATCTAGCACATAGGATTTGAAGGGGGGCCCTTTTAAGTGTTTTCAGTATAGTTAAAAAAAATAAAGATTCACAAAGAAAGTGTGGAGATGCACGTGAGTTTCAAAGTTATAGCACCTCCTGCAGCATGGGCTGCAGAGTCAATGTGTTGCAGAGGAAAACATTCATTATTTTACCTAAATGAACAGCAATTTCACACTGTAGCGTAGACTATTTGTACTCTCCAGTAAAGCACTTATTAAGAACCTCTTTGACTTTCAATAACATGGAACTAGAAAATACCTAGCAAGGAATTTTAGTTGATACACTTTGCACTGGCGAAAGAAAAGAACCATAGAGTTTAGATAATCATTAGTCGTCGTCCCCGTGGATAACTATTACTTCCACCAACATTTATGCATTTGAGCTGTATATTAACTCCTGCATTCTCTCCTGTCACTGCAGGTCTCTCTGATGTGAAGGAGCGGACTCTCATTGCCATAAAGCCAGATGGAGTTCAGCGTCGTCTCGTCGGACAGATAATCCAGCGGTTCGAGCAGAGAGGGTTCAAGTTGGTCGGGCTGAAGATGCTTCAGGTACCTGAGCTGCTTTGACTCTGAGTGAAGAAAACAACCTTTGAGTTCTAACTGCAGCTGAATTTGCTCTGAAGGCATCACAGGACGTCCTGTCTGAGCACTACTGTGACCTGAGGACCAAGCCTTTCTATAGCAGTCTGCTGCGCTACATGTCCTCAGGACCTCTAGTTGTGATGGTGAGGGCTTCCCCCTTCTCTGCCTGGTTTTTGGTTGCTCTTAGTTTTTAAATTGTGTTTTCTTTATCTTGCACTTGCTTATCTGTTTGCTGCAATGCATGTGTGGCGCTTTATCTATGTTTAGGTGTGGGAAGGGCACAACGTCGTTCAGACATCACGAACCATGGTGGGAAGCACTAATCCAGCTGAGGCGCAGGCAGGAACCGTCAGAGGAGATTTCAGCATTCATGTCAGCAGGTATACTTTTGTCTTATCATTTAGTTCAGGTTTTGTGGCATTTTGCTAAATCATTCATGCCCCCTTGAATTAAAAAAAAAAAAAAAAGTTTGGGGACTATTTATTTAAGAAGTTAACTGTGTAAAATTGCAAGATTCAGGAACACTAAGAAGGCTTTGAACATTTTTATGAAGAAGAATTTGAAAAGTGTGCGGTGTGTGCATGGTCCCCTTTATTCTGATTGCCCTAAATTAAATCTAGCTGAAGTGTTTTATTTAATCTCCTAACAGAAGCTGTTTGATGAAGGCATTAAAGTGAATTAACAAATGGAGCTTTAAAACTCAAAACAACCCAAGTTCTGATCCTCTCACAGAGCGCTGCTCAATTCCTCATAGGAATATGAGCTGAAAGATGTCTGCGTAAACCAGGCATGACCAATGAAGCAGGCTGCTGTCCTGCAGGTCCCTGTTTTAGCAGAGTTGATTTTCATTGATGACTGATGATGAACAAGCTTTAGATAAAATGCAATTATCTGAATCAAGTGTGCTAAAGCAGGGAAACATCTAAAACCTGCAGGACAGCAGCCTCAGATGACCGACTATGGATGCATCTGACCTAAACTGACTGGTTTGACAAGAAGAACATCTGCTAGTGGAGCAGTCAAGGTACTTGTAGGAACTCTGGAGGAACTGTAAAGATTCACATGCAGTTCTGTTTAGACGTAACCAAAGCCAAACATTCCAGTTTAAATGATAACAAACATTGAATCCATAGTGAAACATGGTGGTGGTAGAGCGCCGCTTCTCAACATGTGTTATTTTAGCACACAGGGAAGCTGGAGGTAATCTGGTTGGAGGCCCATAGGAACATTAGAGGGACTAATTGCAGGAAAATTCTGTTGGATCTTAGACTAGGGAAGTGGTCGCCTAATGTTTAGGGTATAGAGCTTGGAATCCTGAGGTGCTGAGTTGGAGCCCCACTCCCACAGACTGTCACTCTGGGTGTCTGAGCAAGACCCTAAACCCCACCCTGCTCCCTGGATGACACAAAATGGCAGCCCACTGCTGTGAGATCAAAAAACTTCAATTATTATTATATTGACTCTAAACATCCCACATCACATATGGAACTGCAGTAGAATGCTTTATATGCTCGAATATTTACGTTTAATAATGGCCTAATCAGAGTCCAAGCCTTAATGAGTATCTTTGGTAAAACTTTTAAACAGATGTTGAATATTTCCACTCCCTGATGTGAAAGGCTTATAGAAAAAAAAAACTTAAAGCTTCAATTGCGACAGAAAGCGGTTTTAGAAAGTACTGACAATAACACGCTGCTCTTTGTAGGTTTCTAGCTGTAAATTCTGGGTTTAAATATATATCAGTTTCCATTCCTCTCTCTATTGTTCACAATAATTCTGTCAGAAATTTTAAGGGAACAAACTAGAAAAGGTTCAAATGGTATCAATACGTTTGCAATTAGTGTAATACAGTTCACGATCACACAACAATAATATGAAAAAGGCAACTTGTGTCATGGAGATCAAGTAACCAAAAGTGTTGCTCATTTAAAGGAATGTGATCCATGCCAGCGATTCTGTGGAGGGGGCTCAGAAGGAGATCCAGCTGTGGTTTCAATCAAAAGACCTTCTGGACTGGGACTGCTGGGACCAAACCAGCACCAGTGAGGTGTGAGGACAGCACCAATCAATAGGAAGTGAGAGTTCAATATACTGCCTCTTTCCCAGCTGCTCAGTGGTCCGTCACTTCTAACCGTGTGGCCAACAGCGATTGAAAAACATGAGCCATATTCATTGATCAATCTCAGTGATTTACCTCAAAAGTGCACTCTAATATGTTGCGTTCAGGATGCATTTTAATAGCAGTAATCAGCATGTTTCTGTCTAATGGTTGAACTACTTAAATGTTTACTATGAAAAGTGTTGATTAATGACCCTTTTTATTATTATTTTGAGAAAAAGATTGAAAAAAACTTTAAAAAACTACTTTTTAAAGTGAACGTTTTACATTTTTCAGGAACTGCATCCCTCTTCCAGTATTCCCTATACTGCTTTTTTATGTACCAGGTCACCAATATTGCAAAAAATACAGACTTTGAACCATTTTGCACTGAAAAGATTAAAACGAGAGCAGAAAAACATGACAAAAAATGAAATAAACCAACAGTATGTTTAAATAAACCTCCACAATGATCAGAATCTTTTCCTTTTATTAAAGTATGGCACAGGATGAAAGTTCAAGTTCCTACATCATACTGGTGTTGCACTGGCATCTGAGCATTGGCTTTTATTTTTAGACATGTGTGTCTTCTCATCTGGATGATGGATCATTGGAGGAAATATAACAAGGCTAATGTGGCTTCATTTTTCTTTTCATTCATCTCCATCGCTGCCTATAAAAGTTTTCTGGACATTTTCTCATATTCTGAATAAGAAATTAATAATAAGCATACATTTAAGACTAAGGGCAAAATAGAACAGCTGCAATAGTTGACATTTGCAGAATGCAACATTACATGGCGAATATTGGATATTTCCTCTTAATCTTTTGCATGATTAAACTTAATTCATCTAAAAATCTAAAAAGATTTCTAAATGGCTGATTTTAAAGGCAAACCAGGACAAACTTTTGAAATAGGGACAGCGCAATCTGAAAGGTCAGTTCTTGCGTATGAAGTAAATCTGACCTCTGGTTATTTGTAAAACTCTGGTGAAGCAACATTATGTTCAGATGATGTTTATTTACCTTCTGCTGTAACTGATGGCATGTGTTGTCATTTGGAATCAGACTCGTTTAAGATCCGTTCAGTGCTGATTAAGATGACTTGGAGGTTCATGTTGAACTTGGTATCAATGATCAGTTGGAGGGTTTACCACTCTTAAATAAACATTACCAATGTGTTTATTTGCCTCTGTTGGTGTGTAATGATGACAGTATTCTGATTATGTATATTTCTGCGTTGTAAACAATAGTTACAACAGCATACAATTACTTCACTGCCGTGAATACAATAGAAAATGTTTTGTTTTTTTTAATGTGATATGTTTGTACATTTAGACCAAATCAACATGTGGCTGTACAAAGTGACTTAATAAAAATGAATGTGAAATAAATATGAGAAACAGACATGATCTTTGACAAACACAGACGATTAATCAGTTAATGTGTTTACAGACAGATTTAATCATTTTTTCTCTCATTTATTTGCATTTTTTTTTTTGCATTGTTAGTGTACACATATTGGTTAATAGCAATTAAACTGACATTTAACGATAACAAAATAAAAATAATAAAAGCATTTATTTTTATAAAATGTCGCTGAGAATATTATCCTGTGTCTTTACTACATCAATGTTACCTTCATACACAAGCTTATATTTTTGCTATATTTAGAAAAAGAAAATGAAAACAATTGGGACAAAGTTAGCAGTGTGTTTTGAAAAGCAGTAAAGCAAAATGTTTGTGTGTCAGTGCAGGTACACCACGTTATAATTAATACATTTATGTAACCTTCATGTTTTAGAGTAACTGATATATTTATATATCCTTCATGTACAGTTGTTTGGCCCCATATCTTTAAAAGTCAGCATTGATTCCTGCAATATTTATTGGGCACTAATCCAGGTCAGTCGTCGGATTTCATTTCTCCTTCACTGTCTCTAGTAAAGAAACTTTGCGCACGTCCTGTAAGAAGAAGGAAATAAAGGAGTTAAATATAGCGCAATCATAATATTATAATGTACTATATTATACTTATATTTTGTTTAATCCACCCGTCGTGCTTTGAGGAATTATTTGTCCACTTGTCTTTTTGTGTCACATTAAGGTGACAGTGGCTCAGAAGGTAACGGTTCAAGGCGGCTGGTTGCCGGTTCAAGTCGCAGCTATAGATGCTCAGTCACTGTTTCCTTGGGCAAGAAGCTACTCCTGCCTTGCCTGCTGTTTGTGGTCAAATGAACCAGTGGCACCGAAGTACTGCAGCCTTGCTTCTATTAGTGTGGCCACAGATGGTGAGGCTTACTGCCATCACGTGTGCAAATGATTGATGTAGTTTGAGGAAGTGCAACACAGGAGCAGGTCATTTACTAAATGTTTCAGATCACTGTATTTTAACATCTCAAAAGCATGACCTGAGTAAACTTAAACCTTTATATTCAGGATTTTGTTTATCAAGGCAGAAAGAATATGCAAAATTACCTGACCTTTAATTAAAACTAGTGTTGCACCAATACCAGTATCGTTCAGGGCCCCGATAATTCACTAAAATGGTGGTATCAGTAAACCATTTTGAGAGCCAAAAGTTTATTCAACTATTGTCACTCATTCTAGGTAGGTGATAAAAAGTTCTACTGGATTCACTCTGTATTAGTCTTTTTCCTGCTTCACAAAGGTAGGCAGCAGCTTGACAAAGCCTTGATGGCAATTAATTAACATCCAAGTAGTACAGTATGCAGTTCTTCATATACACACACACATCAATTTCAAACATATGGTATCGGTATCGGCCGATACTGCACAACGAGGTATCGGGGCCAAAAAATGGCATCGGCGCAACACTAATAAAAACTGTTTTATTTGTCACCCTGTTCCAAAAAACGGTAGACCTCTAGAATCAACAAAGCACTGACATACAACCTGTCTGACACCATGAAGTGGGCAAAAGATTTTAAAAAGAATGCTTAAGAATTTGAAAAATGTTTAGGTAAAAATAGAATCATAATTGACATAAATGATTGTGGAATGGGATGTTCTGAGTCGTGTGGGCTCAAGCAAGCCATGAACATGCAGAAATCCTGGAACATTGGTGAATCTGACCAGGTTGCTGTCGACCCATCAGCAAGGTAAAAATAAATCAGTGAAACATTTAAAGCGCTGTTAGCCTCAGTTTAGGATCAGCGACACTGACTGAACAATACAAAATAAAAAGTGAGAAGATACATCCTTGGAGAGGTCCAAGGAAAAAGCACTGCTCACTTATAAGCACACAATTACCTTTCACCTACTGATACTTGCCAAAAAATGCCAAATTAATCTTGATGATCCAAAAGATAGTTTGGATCAAATTATATGTTTTGATTCACAAGCTAAACTTTTGGAAGGAATGTGTCTCTTTATGTTATCTGCTAAGTTAAAATAGTTAAAACATTTTACTGACAAACATGATGACGGCAGCTTGATGCTCTGGAGCTACTTGGAAAATCCTAATGGAGAAAGCCTGATTACCATTTTGCAGCCTCAGGACAAAGACAGCTTAGCTTGTACATGTTGTCTCAATATTTAAAAAATATAGAATAATAAAAAATATACACTGCAATGGACTGGCGACCTGTCCAGGATGTACCCCACCACTCGCCCGTAGACAGTTGCAGATAGGCACCAGCACCCCTCGCGACCCCACTTGGGATTAAGCATGCCAGAAAATGGATGGATGGAATAAAAATATATAGAAGTGCAGTGATTTAAAGCGCACCAGCAAGTCTAATTCTGAACGACTTGAACTAATTACTTCCGATTTTACAGTAGCCTGGTCTAACACTGAAAGAGTTACTCTCTAGCTTTGCTACTGGTAAATTGTGTTCCAATCAGAGTCTTTAAAGCTACAGATGTGCATTTAAGTGTGCATGTTATGAACAATTTTTTCATTTAAACAAATTAGGCAGCTACCACTTGGTAATAGGTCAAAGAGCCTCCCTGTCACCATCTTTTGACCTTATTGAACGATTTACGTATGTATTAATGTTATTCTAAATATGAATATAATTATAGTATTAACTGTAGGTTATTAGATATTAAGAACTCAAAATGAGTCAGAATTGATTTCTACTCATGTCGAATGTAGGTCAGTTTAGAAACATTTTGGCAAAGTGATGCAAGTCTGTTCATCAGTCAAGGCCGAGCAAACAAACAGTCACTTTAACCCGGCTTTAATACAGGGGAACAGCATACAAACCTCGAGAAGAGCCTTCTGTCCGAGTATCTGAATGTAAACATGCTCTCCTTCAGAGGGGCACACTTGGCAGAGCTCCTCATTTTGTAAGGAGAAAAGCTGGGCTCCATTTAAAACTCCCAGACTCTGGACTGTCCTAATAGAAGAATAACAGAAAGAAAGTTTAGCGCTTTGAAACTTGGTCACAAATTAAAATAAAAAAAACAAACATTAATGAGAAAGCAGTCAGTGGAGGATCTAAAGCTCATTCAAAAGTAATTGTTGTTAGGATCCACCTTTCCAGAGACCTCTGTATACATTTAGCAGAAGAAAAAACAAACAAAAAACAAGCAAATTTATTATTTCTTTGTTTACACAGTACTTTAAAAAGTATTTTTTTTTACTTTTGGAAAAACATTTCAATAGTGCCACATTTGTAAAGAAACTGTATTTCTGGAGCAGTGAGGGGAATAGTTAAGTATGTTTTTAGAGTTTACCATCTCTGTTAAAGTGCTTTTGATATTTGTTTGGAATCATTATTAATTGCATGATATAATTTAGTAATCAATACATATTTGAAATCAAATATATTTAATCCCCTAATCAAACGATGCTCTGTGTAATACACAAGAGAACTGTGCAGAACCACAGCACCTCTTCCTCATGATGGGATTGTATCCCATATTTCTGTCACCTTTTGTACCAATCAGCCAATTTGTTTGTTTTTGCCCAAACTGATCCTTAAAGCACCCAATGGGGCTAAGGTCATGACTGCAGACAGGCCAATTAATCATTTCAACCCCTACGTCCATAAGGAGGTTTCTGGTAAAAACTTCCTCTCTTCATGATAGTAGCAGGTTTGAAATTGTTAATAATATATATATTTTTGGTTATAGTTGCAAAATCGCTTCTTACAAACAACCTTTCTTGAACATTATATTTCTTCAAACCAGTTCACACTCTATATTTGTGTTTTTATGGATGATAAAAGCAGAGCTACAGTCTGTATCGTCTATACATTTTTATAGTGTCTATAACACTCACTCCTGACTGAAGCCCTTCGCTGTGAGCCAGGCCTTCACATCAGCGCTTGGGGATTTGTAGTTCAGAGGGACAGAGGTGGGAGCAGCGGAGGGAACCTCCGTCTGTTCAATTGAGTTCCTTTTCTTCGCCAGTCGCTGCAGAAGCTCATCGTTCATGAACATGACTGTAATAGAGCACAAAAACATCAAACGGTACAGATTTGGAAAGGAACTAGATTAAATGGAAAGC